TATATTTTAAAAAAAAAATTAATTAGCAAGCAATTTGGTTTTTGACATGTGTAAAAAAACTTTAGGATTACACAATGCTTACCTGCAGAATCTTCATCGGGAGCTTTGACACCCATAATGTTACCCAAGGCAGTGCCTGCAACATCTACAACACTCTTAGCAGCCTGTTAATAGCATAATCAAAAAAAACATCTTAGTATCCAGCGTAAATAAGAATGAATATTATATAAATTTTATTATAACAACCTTTTGACGTTCTATTTGTTCTCTCTTTTCTTTTACCAATTGACTCCCTTTCCTAGAGAAGACAGCTAAATCGGAAGTGGGGTCTTTGACAGATTGTACAGTTCCCAATTGTTTTGTGAAAACCGTACGACCATCAAGAAATGGTGGTCTAATATCATGTACTAATAAATGCACACGTGCCTACATAAATAAATGTCAAGTTTTGAATCAATCAATATTATTTTTTAATTTAAAATTAACAAATGTTTGAATTCTCATTCTTACTTCCGAATCACCATCGAAATCCAAATCAATTTCTTTCCTTTGCACGATACCGGAAGTAAGCATACGGTTTGTTTCCCAGAGTTCATTATCTTTGTTATATTGTTCTTGCCTTGCGGTAAGTTTTTTCTAATTTGAATAAATCAAGCAGTTAGTAAAGAAAAATCTTTGAGTACAGTCAAACCTCCCTAAATATAGAGCCAGTATTTCAAGAAGTATTGCATTTAAGAAGCACATTTAGGAAAGTCTGACTGTAAAATTATAATAATTGAATTAGAAATCACACACACAAGCTGTTTCTGGGCAAGCTCATTCTCTTTTTTCTCAACAAAATCCGAATAGTCAGCAAAAGGATTATGCGTATCGTCCATTGCCTAGATTATAAATTAAAGATTTGAATATTTATACATTCTTTCATATATGAATTTGTGAGAAACTATCACTTACTCCAGACTCTTCCATGCTGTACCAGTCACGATCCAGTTGCCGTTGTTCTTCTTCCCACTGATGTCTTTCATTATCTTCATTTATGTCTTCACCGTCTTGTTTAAATGCAAAATCCAACTCATCATAATCAAACGTTGCAAGTCGAGGAGTTGGAAAATCCCTCATAGGTTGATATTCTAATAATTTTATGTTTATAAAAAAATGTAACTCGACAGGTGCAGGAGTAATTTTCAGATGATCTAATATTTTTACCTTTTCGAGGAGTCAGACCACCACCAGAGAATCGTGGTGTGCTCGATCTTGTTGGAGTGGAATCCCAATCGCTTCTACTTATTCGTGGTGAATTCCGATCAGAATCTCTCCACGAACTGATTGGTACAGAACGACTACGGCCGTAATCAGTGCTTTTTTCTCTGTCTCGTATTTCTTCTTTCACATCGCTGTCTCTTTCTCTCTTTCGGATCTTGTTTTTATTAAATGATCTTTTGTAAAGTCCTCCGTTACTACTATTCATTATTATTATTATATTGGGTACTGAGTATAAAATAAAAATTTTTTAAATTGCTTATTACTGCATTATATAGTGATCTACCACGTGACCGCATATGCAAAAATTTTC